TTTCAAAACTTAAATCCCGGGATCGGGATCAGAACTGATATCTCGGGATCCCGTGCAAACCCTATACATAAGTATGTATGTATGTTAGGGTCGATTTGTGTTTATGGCGTAGACAAATAAACGACAGTATGCAGTGGGTGATTTGATTTGATTACAAATGTTCCTGATGCCATCCCATGAGGATGTCGCAGTGGATTCGTTTTGTGGTTTTTCGATTCATGTTGATCACTCCGACACCATATCGACAAACATTAATTTATTTAATTATGCGACCGTCAATGATTCCATTCAATCACAACCCTTCTTGCTTGTGAATTCTTCTCAGCGAAACTTTCCATGAACACATAGGGGATTAATTTAGATTAAAAGCATCATCGACCCAAAAATGCTTTCGTTAAAATGAAGTATGACAAAAACACGAATTATATTGGATCTTATGTTGTTGAATAAGAAATTTTCCATCGGAGATCGTCATCAGAATCTTCGTGACAGTCCCATCTGCAAAATTCCGCTAGTTTATCACATCCCTTAACAAAACTATAATATTTGCAGCTCTTTCGATGGGTTTATCTGTATGTTTGGTACCTTTTGATATGTTCGAAGTTCAGTGTACTCTTCCGATGCTATTACAATCATCTAAATGCAGGTACGAAATCAATTTATGTTTAACAGCCCTCATTTAAAATTACTACTCAGTATTTATGGATACTCAAAAATATTATCAAACAGTCAAATCTAGAGATGTAATTCAAAGATTAACATCCAGATTCAGAACTCTGCAATTCTTTCTTCACAGTAGTTGCTAAGATAATGACATTGTTGAGCGGTTTTGACCTGAAAACAATCAGAAAAATTGAAATAGTACTGACATCATTACCGAAAACACCGCATTAGGATCATCCACTGAAAATATTGCATACATACTCGTATCAACACTTCAACTCAGCATTCTTCAATCGATCTAGCAATGCACGCGTGAAATAAGTCTACCGTCAACTGCTAGATGACTGCGAAGGATCCCCATCGTTTGAGGGTTTAACGGAGATAACTGCATTAATAAGTTCATTAGCAGAATCATTTTATGTCTAGGATGGTGATCTCAGATGCATGAAAACTGCTCAAGCGATTCCTCAAGATTACATAAAAACCTGAAAGTCATGAAAGTTAAACCAGATGTTGAAGTTAGTTAAAACCAAGTCAGTTTGAAGTCACTTAAAAATCGCAGAGTCATCTGGGATAGGTTTAAGAATCAGTTAAGCAGTTAGGACAAGCACTCATCAAACCAATACTACATAGATCATAAAACGAACAAACAAGAGCTGTTGTGTTCATTGTTTCTGGGTTTGTTGTCTGTAAATTATCATGTAAAACGGAAACATCTATCATGATACTAGTTCTGCTAACAAAAGAAACCGAAACAAATTTAAGAGTTGGTTGGGCATATGCAACCGCCTGCATTCTCTCACTGCTGTCAGTTTGTTGTCCGGTGATGGCCAGACTGGTTGCAGATCAACACCGACGATATTGTCCACTCATTGTGGAACATTACTTGTAAAATTGTTGCATCATCTGTATTGCTATTGTAAGTGATATCAGCACTAATTGAATCATGAATCGAAAAGGTTGAAACCGCTTTCAATATGTTGATCCATTGAACTCAGTTCGAAAGATAGCGCTGGATCAAGTTGATGATTTATTCAATAGTTCAATTCGTTTATTGTATTTAGTTGTTTTCGGTTAGCAGACTGATGGAAGACGAAAGTGCAACGGGAGTAAAGGTCGTAATTTTGAAAGAGCGATTTTCTCGCTTATCTAGACCCACATGCACATCTCGTACAACAACAACATAACATTTCGCGTGACACCGATTGCCGTTTGTTCGGTAGCTATTTGCGAGCACGACAAATGCCAGCTAAACTTTCATTCAAAGATCACCCATTTCACGAACGTGTGTAAATAGATTTACTTCTATGCATATCCATCTTCCAACAACACCAACTATAATCACACTCCATGAAGCATTGCGAAATATTCGAATTGATTTTTGCAAACAGTAAATTTGCAATATTCGTCGGTTTGCGAAATTTGGAGCACCTTCCAGTCATCCCCATCACTCTGTGATGTTAGTTGCAGTTTGTGACCGATGCGAAGTTTGAAATCCTCACTTCTAACGCAGCAAATTCGCTCAGAAAAATGGATTAATTACCATTCCAGCATCGACCCCTGCGCTAAATAGAGTTTTACCTATTTGTATGAACAGTATCCTCGATCATATCGAATTTCCAGAAAGCCGATGACTAGGGTATTGCAAATGAGTCGATAACGTTATTTTGAGGGATGAATTCAAGGTTGTTACATTCACGAACATAATTATTCCCTTCAACATCCAGTCTTAACAACGACAACAACTGCGATCAGCGATTATACTGCACATTTTATTAATCTTGTTATAACTCTATAGTTATATTTGCTACTGCTGCTCACACGATTACTGCTTTTATCAAAGCAATCGTCGATCGTTACTTAATATATGTGACCAAATAATGAATTTCTTTTTGAATGTCTCACTGAAATTATAATCTATAATAAAAATTCGCTGAACCATAAAACGCTTAACCACATCGATAACAGTCACCAATAGGGACACGTAATTTATTTCACCAAATAGTTCATCGAGACAATGCCGTGGCGAATAAAGGTCCATTTCATCGCTTGATTGAAAGTTCAAAATGCGATCGTCAAAAAAAACTTCATTAGAGGACAAAGTAAACACTTTGAATTTTCGAACGAAAACCTCAGAGGAGTTCCGAAAAACGCTCCTCAAAGTAATTACATAAAAGCAGAATTCATTTTCTTAAAAAGTTTAAGAATTTCGTCAACTTGATTAATCTTTTCTGCTTCCATTTCGACAGAATATTGCAAATAATTTCCACTTAACGTTTCGAATATGCGATGAACAATAGCGTAAATAAATGCACATATTCATGTCACTACAATTTTAATATTACGATGTGACTAAAATGTCGTTTGCATAAAATGTAAATTACAACTTTAAAGTATTTGTCTGTAGAAAATTTTTGGTAAAGGCATATCATCAATATTCATCAATCATAATGATTATCTTACAAGTGCTCAAGAAAAAAAAANAAAAAAAAACAGTTCAGAAACGAAATGGACTGCAGGTCAAAAATATGAAAATCACATTTGATTGGAAGCAAATTGAGGCAATTTACGACACTCAGACGAAACAAAACAATTTCGCAGGAACATCATAAATAGCTAAATCACCGATTCGGTTCTAAGCCTTTTCATTCAAACTTTCGTTCACCACATAAATTAAACAATAAATACTCGCGAAAAAATGACGAACATTCGCTAAGAGTTCGTCAGAGTTTCGCTCATTAATTTCTCTTCATTGAACACATACGATAAACAGCAATCGCTTCAATGCTAACGAACATATTCAAATTATAACAAACCTGACAAATTCCGAAATGACAAAAACGTATGAACAACCAACAAGTAATTATATATGTGTATTAACAGACCGTTCGTACAATCGGTTTAATCATGTGACGGAAAGAGCGCTTTGCGAGAGAGCCTCGGGAGAATTTATGTCTTAAACGTTTCGTCAATGAACGTCCAACCTGAAACAAGAATATCTGTAGAACTAAAATTGTAGTTTTAAAATTGATCTCAATTGCTTTCCACCTAATAAATTCATGCTATCGATAGACGCTGGAAGTGAATAAAAATTATAGTGCGTTTGAAGTTTTAAAATGAGATGAAATTTTAAATGTCAGCACTTATTTTTGTTCCGAAACGAATGAACAAAGCTCACCAGAGGTTCAATTTGTTGCTTATATTGCATGGCGACATCCACAACGTTCAAAACCTCCTCACTGTTTTCAGCGTATTCGCATAAAGAAAGATCAGTACTGAAATAATGCATTAAAATAATATCTTCAATAATCTTCACTTATCTTCAATTTCCACTACTCATGTGATCAGTCATTCGGATATTTTTCACAGATACGACAACAGCCAAACAATAACCAAACTATGATAATGCATATCCTCATTCATGCAATGAACAGTCTCACGAAACTCATAATAACTGATAACAATGCAACATAAGACATAATGCAAAAAAAAAAGAAACGAAATCAGTATAAATCAATACTTTTCATTGCAAACATCCCTCAGATAGACATTGGGTTGCAAAAATTTGCTGAAATCAATTGAATGCGCACGTTCACCAAATGGTAAACAGCGATCCGACGATAACCCCCATTGTCTTAAAAGAGCTTCTCTCGATGCCATATCCACTGCTATTGAAAGACTCTCACCGGCGCCTGCACAAAACAGTAACAGTAAGGATGGAAAGAACGACTGACAACAATCTACTCGACACCATTTATCAATCTCATTCACATCGTCAAACATAATGTTGACAAACTAAACTCAACACAGAAATTATTCAGTTTATTCAAAACAGACTTCTGTTGCTCATCTGATGAACACAAATGTGATTTATGACAGTGCATACCATAACTCGAAATCAGAAGATTCATTTTTCCGAAGTGAAGAACGAATGTTTCGATAAAATCATTGAGCAAGAAAAAAAATTTCATACAATTTACTAGACGAAAGCAAACACAACTGAACTCGATAACAATGGCTTAAACTTCTCATTCATCAATTTCCGATGAACTCTTGACAAATTAGGAAAAGGACAGCCAGAAATGAAAATGAATCAAGAAATAAATGAACTTTTTCCAACAAGTTTTTCATCTGCATATATACCGACGATGTAAACCGGCTCAGCACTGACCACTCCGGCCGAACGTTGTAATCTTGGTTCAATGCATTTGAAACCTTTTGACTGGAGAATATTCGTAAGAACTTGGTACGGATCTCTGAGTGGATATACCTCAATGAAATCAATATCCAATAATTGCGGTACCACTACACTTACTACCAATGATTCGGCCCTGAAAAGAAAAACAAGTGAAATGATCGGAACATTGAGTGGAATCTTCACGCAACAATTGTCATGCTTCATCAGAAGAATGAATGAACTGCAGAGGAATCCTTGCCAATAGAAATAGAAATCGTCAGAGTTGAGTGCTTGAGTAAACGTTTTTTCAGCCCATACACACATGGCAACAAGCTGAGTTCCGCAACGACTGTACTAGGTCCAATTTCGATTTGGAATTTTCACGAGAACTATTAAGAAATATACACTTAGAAGTGAAAATACAAATTTCTACCGTTTCGCATCTAGAACAGCAAGCAGCGCCTTGAAGGCATTCGCAAGTGATTCGTTAGATGGTGGAAATTCAGCCGTGCGAATAAGACAGTCAATACCGAGATTCTTGCCCAATGAAGCAATCGAATCAGTCGAACTCAACTCATTCGTAACAGCTTGAATCAATTCTTCAGGTGCACTTGGCAGTGAATAACGCAGATAACCACTAATAACATCTAATAATTTATGTTCACCTGTAATTTTCTATATTTAAAATGGAATTCAGTCCACGGCTCTAAACCCTTTCATGACGTCGATTTATACCTATTCGACCACATATCAACTGAAACGAATGCAATGTTCCATGAACGAACAACCAAAATGAACCAATAGAGATGAGTTGAGAGTTATGTTGCTTTGATTCAATGAAATCCTCTTTGGACGGTTGTGCTCCCGATGAATCCGACTGTACGTCGGCTCTCGAGAAGAATGTTTCATTGGTCATCGCACGTATCAACTGATCATTTCCAAGCGTTTCTGCTGCTCCAATGCGATGACTGAAGGCGAATAGTTCTGATCGATAGTCCCTTCAAAATTGATCTTCTCTTACATAAATCAACTAGTCAATCATTGTTTACAATGTCTCATTTGAGAGAGGTGAATGGCAAAGCAAATATCGGATGATTTTTGTTGATGATTACATCGAGTGACGTCTTTATACGCTCATTTAAGCATGATCTTTCATCAATATGGGAGGAAGGTCTTCAAAAATGATCAGTCGAATAATTCAAGATTCGATAAAACTTGCGAAAGCTTTCTGAATTTTGCCGCTGAACCCAAAACTGTCACGAGCGAATTTATCAAAATAGATATGACTTCGAATACGCATCCTACAGAAGTGCTGTTTCGGACGTATTTCTCAATCGCTTTGACTAGTTTCTTTTTGCTCCACCGAAATTCAAATTCTATGAAGCTCTATAAAGACTGCGATTACGGGACCCCATCTGAATGATTGCTAAATATTAGGTGTTAAAGAATTAAAATCTTGGAAAAAGCCCCAATAAAAACTGAATGACCGGAAAATGGATGAATAGGTGAGATGCCGTGAAACTGAGCAAAATCTAAGGAATTTATTCGTCGGTGAATGAGGATATCTAGAGAGTAAACAATAAAATTCATTAAAAATTGAGCACCGCCACCAATACCCGTTACTAAAGTCAAAAGGATACAATGAAAAATGCAAAGTGAATATTGAAAATGATAACTGCAAAATGCGAAACTACGAGAATACACCAAAACACAGCAACAGATGATAGCGCAAAGATTATGGAAAGACATAATGAGAAATTGGTCAATTAACCACTAAACATTTAAAAGGACAATATCATATTAAAAAAATACCTGAGCAAGGCAAGAACATAGACAAAAACTTTTAACGTCTTCAAAATTATTCAATTATAGACGAGGATTATATGTTTGAATAGTTTTTAAAAAAGTTGGGTTGGACAGTTTTGAAACGATAATAATATTAATCCTAATAATTGTATAGCTTGCGTAGATTGTAACAATAATATAAACTGATGTGCTGGTATTGAAGATTTTTAAATCGTTGTCAGCACTTTTCTGTTCCAATCACTGTTGGGATTATTGGATAGTAAAACGCAAAAAGTTCGGATGCAAATTACAGTCAGATTATGAGATGAGATATAGATGACAACAGAGGTAAATATATTTTGCATTCAAAACGCACCTCACTGATGAGATTTCAAAATATGTAATTAGAAAAATGTCATTCAAAGGAATGATAATGACTTATTTACGACATCCGAATTACATGCGAAAAACACCAAATTTAGTTGGCTGTATTGGTGCGTTAGCAGTAGCTTGCAGAGCTAGTCCAAGGACACGTCTTGAGTGTTTTGGGTCGATGACACCATCATCCCAAAGTCGTGCAGATGCAAAATAAGGATGACCTTCGCGATCGAAGCGTTCCTCGATTGGTTGCTTCAAGTTGCGTTCATCCTCTTCTGTCCACGACTTACCCGCTCTCTTACGAGCATCACACTGTACCTGTGCTAACACATTCGCTGCCTGTTCACCACCCATCACCGAAATACGTGCATTCGGCCACATAAACATAAAGCGTGGCCCATACGCACGTCCACACATCCCATAATTACCAGCACCATACGACCCGCCGATGACCATCGTTATCTTCGGTACTTGAGCACATGCTACGGCTGTCACCAGCTTTGCGCCATTCTTTGCAATACCACCCGCTTCGGCGTCCCGACCAACCATGAAGCCAGTTATATTCTGTAGGAATATCAGTGGGATATCCCGTTGACAACACAACTCAACAAAATGTGCTCCCTTAAGAGCCGATTCCGAGAAGAGAACACCATTGTTGGCCAATATACCAACACGTCGTCCATACAAGTTCGCGAAACCAGTCACCAATGTCTCTCCATACTTGCGTTTGAATTCATTGAAACGTGAACCGTCAACGATACGTGCTATCACTTCACGAACATCGAATGTCTTCTTTAAATTCGCACCAACAATGCCGTATAATTCCTCTGCATCATATAATGGCTCATCAGCAATCACCTTATTCTCTGCATCCATCACGTATGAATTCATCGTCTTGCTGTTAACACCCAAACCCGCAACAACAGATCGAGCCAAACTCAGCGCATGCTTATCGGACAATGCGTAATAATCAGTCACACCCGATTCACTACAATGCAGATCTGCACCCCCCAATTCTTCGGCACTGATCTGAAATGTGCGAATTAACAAAATGAACTGATAAGATGATTAGAAGTCACACATGGTAAACCGGGAGAATCCAGAAAAAATTTAACTACCTCTTGAAGAATTCTTTAGCTGTACATATTTCTTAACGTTATCTAACTTAAAAAAACCCGAAAACTAACAATAATAACAACGGAAAATGGAAAATATCAAATAATTGCACTCACCAACAAATAAATCTAACAATATCGAATCCATTTGACAAATAAAAATCGGTAACAAACGAAAACCAACCTCTTCTCCAGTAGCTGCTTTGACGAGAGGCGGTCCACCAAGAAAGACGGTGCCATTACCACGAACGATAATCGACTGATCAGCCATTGCTGGTACATAAGCACCCCCCGCAGTACATGAACCCATAACAACAGCTATTTGCGCTATACCCTCAGCGGACATTGTTGCTTGATTAAAGAATATCCGCCCAAAATGCTCACGGTCCGCAAATATATCAGCCTGAATGAACAGTCCATTAAAACTTAACTGATGCAGCCAATAAAATAAGCAGTCATTCATGATCAATCGAAGGTAATAAGCTAACTGTAAGGCAAATATGAGTATCCTCTGTTTAGGTTTTCTAACATTTGTAACATTATTTAAGAGAATTATAGAAAAAAATAAATTCGAGCTGAACAAAGAAAAAAACTAAGATGGAATATTAACATATGAACCTGTCTAGGTAGATTGGCACCACCAGAATCAACCAGATATATGCATGGTAGGTTATTCTCTTTGGCGATTGCTTGTGCCCTCAGATGTTTCTTGACGGTGATTGGATAGTATGTACCACCTTTAACAGTTGCATCATTTGCAACAATCATGCACAGTCTTGATGCAACCATACCAATACCCGTTATGATACCACCAGCTGGCACTTCCTCGTCACCATACATTTCATAGCCAGCCAACTGCGATAATTCCAAAAAGGCACTACCCGTATCCAGCAAGTTATTGATGCGCTCTCTTGCTAGCATTTTACCCTTATTTCTGTGTCGTTTCTTCGCATTTTCATCACCACCCAACTCAATTTTGCATACAACTCGACGTAAATCATCAAGCAAATCACGCATTGCTTTATCATTTGATTTGTAATCAGACGTCGATATATCAACGCTTGTCTCGAGCGGTAGCCATAATTTTGATGTTACGTCAGTTGAAAAGTAATGATTGAATAACCTGAAAGGATATATGGCGCTATCGGAATGCGCCTTGAAGTCAGTGAAAGGTATGCGATATCGTTCCGAAGATGCAAGAGATATAAACAATTAATTACAATTCAAACGAATCAAATGGATTGCAGGACATGAGAACGAGGAAAATGATCAAACAAGAACAGTATCGTGATTATCAGCGATACGATCTAAAACATAGATTCAATATAGCGGTGAAATTTTTGAATATATTGTGATCGCTAAGTGAAAAAGACATTACAAACAGATAATCAGAATGTGATACTAGAACTCAACGAATGTCAATGATGGACAATGTAGAAAGAAATTCACTGTTAACAGATAATCAATTCTTCGTTTTCGCCGAAACGGACTGAAAGAGTGAACCTACCAGTTCGGATATGCAGATCGACTTAACATGGGATCAGCTCCAGCTAAAACTCGCCTGTGATAGAGATCCTTTAGGCAGCCTCGTTCCCAACGAGCCCTCACGAACCTGTCTAAAACTGGACTCTGTGATGCAAAGTTTTCGCAGAGAAAGACAGAATTCAAGATTTCTCCAGTGACGACAAAGTTGTAAAGGAATTAGCTGCCGAACTTACATGAAGTATTGAAAATGCGGTTCGGCGCATTCATCGTCAGCTTTCTAGCCAGCGTGTTCATCGTAAATGTTTACGAATGTAATAACAATGCGCCGTGCGATCACCTTAAATTACTCACAATGATCATTATTTTATGAACCGGTCGTAATAATAAACAACGGAAAGTAATCACTTGTTTTATTTGATTGTATAGGTATTTTGCATCACCATACAATGTTTCACAGAACTCAGGGCTACGTTCATACTAGTGACTCGTGTAAAGTTATGCAGTGCGCATTATAAATCTCTAACTGGAATCAGGAACAAAGGAAGATCAGATTCATACTGTGATCGGACGAAATTGTCGTTGACCCCCGATAAATGCACTCGGGACAGATGGACCCGTACTAGTCGTTCATCCAAACTTCGTTTAGGTTCATTATTAAGCAATGCGAACGCATATTTACAGTTGTGTGCGTGTAATACAAACCCATATTGCTTGATATATCACGATCTCCTGAATTTATCATGAGTAGAATCGTTGCTGTAAACAATCACCTAAACTGTGCATGAGCTTTGCCCCTGTGGCTTTAGAATCACTATAGCTGGGGTGGATCCTGGGTCAAACCTGAGGCTATGACTCCTGATGAACCTCAGCAGAATACGGTACATTAGTGATGATTCCGTTAATTAACAGACGTAAAAAAGGTATTTGTGTGTTTCTGCTTATTTTGAAAATGAGGGGTATTTTCTCAGCTCTCCATTGCTTATTTTAATACATTCAGTCATTTCAGTTGTATCGATTACTGAACTATGGGGGATATGTATCCGGGAATTAAAGACATATATTCATTCATTAGGAAGGGAGTGAAATATATTGCATATATTCTTTATATATGCAAGATGAAACATATTAGGTATGAGATGCAATATATTACGTATATTTTNTATTTAGATGCAAAATGTGATATATTAAATATATTATATGTATTAATATTAAATGTAAAATAAAATATATTAGAACAATGATAGTAATAATAAGAATAAGAATAGAAATAGAAGTTATGATGATGATAACAAAAATAAATTAATAGTAATCATGATACCTTGAATGATCGAAGAAATATCTAGAAAAGTGATTCTTAGGAACGTTTCGATGCATTGCGTCAGCTTCAGCCGTACGAGTGTATTGATAGCCTTGAACGGTCGTTCATAAATATACTGGATGCAAAAAAAATATTCCCTTCTGTATATTATCTTAATCATTGTTTACACTACTGATTGCTCATGAAAAGGGTGTTAAATGCGGGAACGTTGAGATAGTTTTCATTTGTTATTAAATATTTATTGCTTAATATACTTGCTGGAGTTTTTGTCAAAAATATCACTATAATTGCGTTCATCTTCACATGTTACAATACATGCGACCCATAAAAAGGATACCACTAAGCAATCATCTCAGCTTTAACAAGGCATTAGGAAAGAGAGTATATTCAACAATGATTTACCATCTCAAAATTCATTTTCGATATCATTTTGCTTATTACTGTAGATAAAAGAGGTCTCTAATAATGGCTCCCGTAACAAATATTTACTTGTGGAATTGCTGCTGAGGGAGATGTTACTGTTACAAATGTTATTATTGTTGATGTTACCTTATTATCCTACTTATTTTTAAAATATGTATCTCTTTTGAGTTTGAAAATTTGCATTCCATATATTTCCTAATCTCCTTCATTTTACATTTTCCATTGCAACGCAGTTCTCTTTTTCCAGGAGTGCTTTTCATGCTCACAGAGGACTGCTTATATTTGTAGAGTAGATTCAGCAGAATTAGCTAATTCGAAGGCATTTCGCCTCTTTGCAGCATAATTCTTCGTTGGCGCCAAAATTTCGCTATGATATTTACTCGTTCGCGTTTACTTCGCTTACTGTATTTTGCCGCGCCGATCTAGCGTCTGTCTCACGATCAACATAGAGATTTAGCATTTGACCAACGCTTCTCAGTTTAACCTTATCGCGTTTGTGCTGTGTTTGCTCTTAAAAATTTGCCTGATGAGCGTTTCTGTATCATATAGTTCTCTGATATCTTTCTTCCGTTGGAAAATTATAAATCTTTCACATTTGTTCTTAGTGAGTATTTCATTAGTCAACTGAAAGTGTTGAACTGCCTAACCCGGGCAACTGGACCGGAGTAAGACTTGCCGGGCTGAACTAAGAATCATCAAGCTGGACTAAAATTCACTAGATCTGGGATTTTTACTCTGCCCATACTTGTACTTGTAATTTGGCTCAACAACTTTTGGCTGCTCGTGCGAGCAGGAAAGTTTTGCTCGAAAATCGAGTGGTGTACCAGATGTTGGCGTTGATTTGAACAACTCCGTGAGAAGACAATTGATGACAAACGTTGTTGTTTAGGTCGTGTTAAGTGTTAACATCTGGATTGTAATTTGTTGAGGATGACATCGAATGGTGCATTGAATCGCATTGCCCCCTTGGGTGATAGACGTTTAACAAGCAAACACCTTAATCATCAGTTAAAGCAGTCGTCATCGTCGCTCTCTTATCGAACTATTCAATCAAATAAGTTGGAAACTGAAAACAAAACTGTTAGCAAAGAGGTAACTGATATTTCGTCTGATATTGAGACGATCGTTCAGCCGTTATTTTTTGCTGATTCGTTTGTATTGTCGACAACAAATGGCTTATTCGTTAATGTCTCAAAAATTCTTGAAATCTATTGAGATTTGTTGTCCTAGTTATACATAATTTGGATAATCATTGAGAAATAAAATAAGTTTTCAGGCTGCTATTTCTCAGGGTCAAGGTGCGATATCGATTACATCACATACGATAAAGCCATCGTTTTCAATATTCTGTGATGAATTAGACGATGATTTGACTCGTGATGCGCATGAAAATCAACATCAAGTTAAGGTTCGTTTTATGTTTGAATTATATCATAGCATTTTGTTTTGACTTATTTATATATCTAGAAACTGACTGAAAATAATCTCAGCAAGTGGTTGAATCATAAGAAAGCGGTCAATCAACCACCAGTTAAGAATTGCGCCATTTGCTTTGGTTCCGTTGAACGAATGTTTTTTATGTCATCATAATCACTTTATCACATATTGATTCCTTATTAATTTGGCGCTAAAATTATTTTTTCTTCATTAATTTTGGACTTCATTTTATCTGTTTTCTCAACTGCTTTGTAGGTTATTGAGCGGTTAGAACAGCCAGCAGTGCGTCATCCACTCGGCGATATCACACTCCAGACTGATTTTTCACATTTTAATCAAATTACTGATGGTGATAAAAACGAGGTAAATTTGGTCATTCCTCTTTCGTATCCTTTGATTTCGAACCGTCACTTCGACATCATATGAATTAATAGGCCCTTCTCTGCATATCTTCTTTAATTCTTACACTTAATTATGATTGTCATTATTGTCCGCAAAGGAAATGTGTAATGCTTGCAGGATGAATCCGAATCTTTTAGCAAGTACGATCATAAAGAAGTGCATTATGTGACAAATTCAACGAATAATGATGATAGTCTTTGCGGGTCTACAGCTGATGAATTCAGTGAATATCATACTGCACCACTGGCGCCATCCGATAGAGTAATTAGCGTTACCGTGATTGTTATGTCCTCATCATTTTAGATCAAATTTTGGATTCAGTGTTGTCAAATTTGTTAATGGTTCCCGGATTGAACGGGTGAAATAATCGGATTTCTCATTCATTCACATAGTCAATATATGAATTGATAAACGAATCATTCACAGCTAACTGTACTTAAGCAGAATCCATAAACTGTAAAAAAAACGATTGAAGTATGATTACGCTTAAAAATAAAATGTTCAAACGTAAATATTGATTTTATACATGTCCCAACTAATCATCATTAATAACTGACCATTCAGGAACGCAATCAAGAACACATTTCATGCAATGAAGTATACATGGACGATATTTACAACTACATGCGTAAACAAGAATTACGCTTACGACCTCGCACGCATTACATTAGCAAGCAGAGTGATATTAATGAAGAAATGCGTTACATTCTGGTTGATTGGTTGGCTGATGTTGTACTCGAATATGAATTACAACTAGTCAGCGTTACTATTTTTACAAATCATTTGCCGTACTTTATTCATATTTTTCATAATGATTTCATTATGGCTGATGTTAACTGAAGAAGCAAAGTGTCGTAGGATCTGATTTGTTCAATTCATTAAGAATTGTTCAGCAAATAAATCAGTTGCTGTAAATGTACTATTTCGATTGATTTGTTTGTTTATTGGATAAAGAAGTTTGGAATTAGATACAAAGGTGCAAGACCAATAGCATTTGTTAGTTTAAAATGGCGGTGCGAGAGTTTGTGAGACGAAGTGGCTCAACGCACAGCTTGAGGTGAATTTTTGCTGAATATTGACCAAAAAATATTCTGAAAGAGGAGGGTGTGATTAATTAAGTTATTCGTAACAGAATTATAGAATAATCGAAATTTAAGGAGACCTTCCACTTGAGTGTATCTTTAATCGATCGCACTCTGTCGGTCGTAGATTGTCCGCGGTTAAAACTACAGCTGATTGGTGCAGCTGCGATTATGATTGCTGCTAAGTATGAAGAAATTTGTCCACCATCGCTGAAAGAATATGTTTATACTACTGCAGATACTTATTTGCCTAGCCAGGTTTGACTTTATGATGCATTTTTCACTTTCAGAAATTAAGAATGTGTTTTCTGGTTCTTGTATTCAGCTGTTACTAAAAAATTATAACATGTAGATGACTCTTAGTTACGTTTTTTAGAAGTTATAGCACATTCGATAAAAATAGTGATACGATGAAATGATGATATTCAGATACTACGCATGGAACGAGTGGTGTTGTCAGTAGTAAATTTCAATGTGAACGCTCCGACATCCAACTGGTTTGCATTGCGATTGGTACGGCTAACCAAACCGACCAGACTTACAATTAATACGCTAAACTATCTCCTTGAATTGTCCCTTCTTGATTCAACATATCTCAAATATCGAACAAGTTTACTTGCTGCAGCTGCCTTTTGTTTAGCGAACATCATAACTGGGCCAGTGCCATGGCCTGCTGAAATCGAACGTGATACTGGTTTGTTTGTTTCCCTTTCTTTTATTGCTATCATTATCGTCATAATTTCATTTGATTTGATTTGACTGATTAATCACTATCGTTCAAATTTTGGTTTCGATTTTTTGAGAGTCTAAAAATTAAAAATAAAAGAGGTCCAGCTCCATTCGCCATATTAATTTTACACACAGCGGTATAATGGGCGGATTAATTCGTATGTAATAGTTGAAGGTTAGCAAATGAGATGAGTCGCAATACATTTTTAGCTAGATGTTTTACAAAAATTATCATCTCAATACAAGCAAACGCATTAATATGTGGTTTATAGCAAGAGTCGTGTGTATATATTGACCCTGATGATTAATATTTAAGGTATAACGGTTCCCGATATGATGGATGCATTGACAGATTTACTTCGATCGTTTCATCAAGCACCAAAAATGAAACATAAAGCAGTATTCGAGAAGTACAGTGATGAAAGATTTGATGCTGTTGCACTAATAACGGCACCAGATTCGTTGCCTTCCATTCACACATAATTCTTAATGCATTAGTTATCATTTCATCGTTTTATGATGCATATTTAAAAACTCATTTATTGGTTCACTTCTTATGTGTAGTTTTTTCAGCTTTGCAATACCTCTTACTCACTTGATTATTTTCATTCCATCATGTTTTGCATCATTCACAGTGCCGTTTTGCTGCAAGAGATGTGCGCATTTGGAAAGGTACAAGAGTCTGGATTTGTGTCTTCAATCGCAACTCATGTGCGTAATTGTCCCGGGTGTGGTTGATGATTATCCCAATTCGAAATTTCGATTAAGTTAATCGTTTGATCACCCACGGAAGGAAGTTATACGAAGTAGTCATTGTTTCGTTAGCCCTATTTTGAACAGTCTCAAAAGGTGTATTTCTATACTGCAAATTGGACGGTGGCCTCGGCTAGCAAGATGCTAATTCACCGAAACACAAAAGAGGGTAATGGTCATTCTGCTCAAATTTCGATTCATTTTGAGATATCTGAGAATGTACTCTTCGTATATCGAAGCAAATAATTCATGTCCGTTTTGTACAGTTGTTGCCAGTTGTATTATATTCCTTAAAAGCCCACTCCATTCTTACGTGTCTCTTTCAACATTACCTTTATCTCCTGTAATTTTTTGATATTCATTGTATTATCATTTGTGTCTTCATGCAATATTACCATTATTTACGTTTTGTATCTGTGGTTGGTTAATTGTGCCACCATGTTGTGTTTTAGTCGACTCTTTCCGAATTTTCGGAATCAGTTCCATGGAAGTTTCTCCTATTGATTCTATTTGCTTTTTTTTCGTAATTAAAAAGAATGATGTTACAATGTCACTCATTAGTACTTCAGTCATTATTTGAGCTTGTTCCTGGACACAACAACATATTTTGTATGTTGTTTTACACTGAACGCTTCATATGTTTTCTCCTTTCACTTAAACATAACAGAAAGTTTCACCGGACCAACTGCATCTCTACAACTGAAGTTTCTGCTCATTGTCACTGCGTATGATTTCAATTTAAACAGAAATTAGGAACAATTCCATCTCAAAAGATAACAACTTTGTCTCAAACGCAAACTTCTCAAAGAACACGAAATCAAATGCTTTTATCGCATAATCCATTAAGACGGTGAACGATAAAGATGAAGGTCGCAAAATGCATAACGAAATGAAACAAAGACATAAACAAACTGAACAATCACTATGAAATTAGCATCAGTGATCCCAAATTGATCCACAAAGTTATCGGCGATAACGACTCAGTGAGCGATAAGAGACAAGCCCCCTAAGAAGAACCTTAAGATATCAGATTAGTGGGAATAATTTTGTCGTTTGTTTTCGATCCATACTGCGGCCGACACGCATGTTTATTTATGTATGTTGCTTGGATGTGTTGCGAAATTAGGTGCTTATCGCAAGTTCTAATAGTGCTGAAAAATGGCAATTTTGGTTTGCTCAACAGATGCTTAAATGATGTGGGAATGACATTTTCACGCAATTTCAATTTAATTGGAACGGGAAGTGGATCTTGTAAGGTAACTGTTGACATTTGGGACACTGGCTGGAAAAAGAGACAAGTTCTTGAAATAGAGCCTTAAATCACTGTATATCGGAGGAGGGGCATGCTAGTTTGATGGGCGGCTCGTGAATAGGTACATTAAAAGCGCCGAAAGTCGGGTCAAATGATAACAGCGGAGTCGTATTGTGATGGACTGGAAGTGGCATCACAGAAGTGAGTGGAAATTCTGCCGAGTTCCGAGACTAGAAGGACCCCAGTGTTTCTCTAAAACAACGGTGGACCACATATTCCCGGAAACATTTCGTAAGTTGAAGGAACTGGACTGGGAAGCTGTCTCATCCGCCTTTCTCACGATTACTACTTCTCAACCATCTGCTTTTCCTTCAGCACAAGAAACAATCCAGACGCTATGATATGATCGGAAAAGTAAAGAAGATTTTTACTGCACCCATGGATTCCGGGTTTTTTTCCTTAAAGGGACATACGATCTTGCTCTACGTGGCGGAGATGAGTTGACTCTAATGTTCATTATTTCTGATGAAGCTGTCCACCGTGCAGTAAGTTGGAATAGTATTGTGCGGGGATTCGTTCCCGGAAGTTCTCTATTTCCCACATCCCCGACTGTTTTTAGCCCGCGGCCATTTTCGAGGAATTCTCTGTCCCCGAAAGTCACTAATTGTCCCTGTCCCCGACTTTTTCTCCGTCCCCGCACCACACTAAGTTACAGCCTCTTTATCACGAACTCGAAACATTAGTTTGCGTTGTCTCTTATCCTTAATATTAACTCGTGCGGATATCGTTAATCAACAANAAAAATATATTCATTCATTCTCAGTTTAAATCACTCCGAAAATCATCAACATTTCCGACCAAACTGGAGTGTTCTCGACATTCTCACCAACCTTCATCTCCCAAGCCGTTATAACGGATTAATATTCCGTCGCAATTCTTACCTCATGTGACTACCGTTAATTTTATCACAATTGTTGACTCCATCCCCAGTTATTGTCCTCCTCCCGAATCATTTAACGTTGCTGTCACTAAGTTCATTTCGATTTCTTTCATTAATAGATTACTGATTCTTTCCTTTTTTATTAGATAAACAAATTCTATGTAGTGAACGGTCATCACATCACCATACCACTAAACATCCAATACAAAGTTACCTGTTCACTACACTTAATGTTTTCACATAGGAACGAATTTATTTATTAGCATTTATATTATTGTTGAATTGAAACAAAGACGTTGACAATGCCTTTAAGATAAGTACATACAATAACGATGGAATAATTTCCCACAATATCTACAAAAATTGCAGTAATAACTGCACAATATAACTGTAATTTGATTACAAAAATTTGCCATCAAATCGAATGCCCCGTGTTTGATAAGTCCACTGATTTAACGAGATGTTAATTTTCGAAATATAATCATTCCATCTCAGTGGCACTTCCCCAATTTTGTTTTAAGATACAACCCGTATTTCGATTGTGATCTGCCTTTACATGTGGATATCATCTGAATCATTTTCTAACGTGGACATAGATTGTGATCTTGATGTGAAGCGCTATCCTCATACCGCTCCCCATTGCTATTCGAAAGACCTTACAATTAAATCAAGTGCTCAATATTCTTCAAATAGTCGACAGCAATTTCCGTTCATTCTAAAAATCATCCATCCTAGAGTTTGGCGAACCATACACGAGCTATCCAGCAAGGGTTTGTTTATTTCAAAGAGCAATGAAAGGAAACTCAGTGCACCTTCAGCATGAAAAAGGTGACTTACCGGTGATGACATAGGTGAGTTCCTAACAAATAAAAATAGGGATAAGATTCTGTAATTCAATAGTATCGAAACAGTACACGTAAAAAAACAATGGAGATAGGAATGAAATAAGATGCAAGGAATTGATTCTCCGAACACCATAGCAAAAATATCGCATTCAACACTCAAACCAAAAGGAATCATAACCTACTGTTGAACCCATCCAATATAAGTGGAATGAAGCCGAGTTTCTTTTTCAAAATTTTTAGCAATATAATCTCGAATCAAGTCTAGCTGAAATGAAGAACTGAAGGAAGTTATCTAAATAAATTCGATCTTTCCAATGATCAATTATTGGATTAAGAATAACAAAAATTGGAATTACATTCAGTGTTCTGCCACGTTCGATCCTCTTGGTTAATGTTTCATCGGGCTTTTTTACGATATATTTTGAGCACTCGCCGACAAACCTGTAGACGAACCTATGTGAATTGTAGTTCCAAAACGTAAACCGATATATACTGTACAGCACCGGTGTTTTTGGGTTGGGAGTTTTGGTCATTTTTCTTCTTTTTATAGGCCGATCCACAGATTTTTTGTGGGACCGCTGAATATAACACAATATTCAATTGAAATCATAGAACTGGAAAAACAAAGGACGACTACAATTATAAAATCTCGGGAATATTCTCACTAATACATTTCGGGACATTAAACAAGAATAATATTAATCACCAGTTGGTTTTCTGCGGGTTGAATCGTATGCTCTTACCATATCACCTTGTGACACCTCTCCACCCTCCTCCTGAGAAAAGGCGTATCCTGCTGAAAAGAAAATTCAAGTTTAGGGTGATTTAGATTTTCAAAAACATACAATGTAAATGGGGTTTGCAATAATTCATAATAGGAATATAATGAATAAATCAATAGTTTGAGGATTTTAATAAAGAGGGAGAGCGAAGAATGGCTTTGAGTTATTAACGCCTGAAAATGGTGAAAAAGGAAAAAACGGAAATAAGGAACTTTCGGATAGCGGTTCGCCTGTTACACTTGAGGTGGGTTGAAATTGGCCTTCTCCTGCTAAAGTTTGAGCATTTCCTAATAGATTCGCAGATTCTGTCGACCTTCTCCTACAACAACACATTTTGTGCATGCAGTCAATTCAATCAATGTTTTGGGTTTTTAAGAATGACGGCCATTAAGTGTTGAAGGATGCAGCGAGATAAGGTCTATCGTAACGGAAGTGAGGGAGTGCCATAACAGGAACAGTTGGGAATTTTTGAAAGATGTTTGGTATGGAGGGAATGTGGAACAGAAAGCCGTACTGAAGATGGGAATGTTCCAAAAATGAAGTGTTTATGCGGGAAGGGACAACGAAAGAAATAGTCTTCAACAATAAAATATTTAAGAAGTAGTTGTTCAGTTTGAGCTTGACAATCTTCATAAGAACTATTTACGCGATAACGTTACAGTACAACGAGGAACAAAGGGTAGTAATATTGACAACCAAACACGATGGCACATTCGACGTACACCTACTTTAACCGCAAACTTTCAAATTGATGACTTGGCAAAATGGATCATGTATCGAACTGTCAGAGGATAAATATTTCGACACTGAATAATTCGTTTTCTATCCGAGTTAATGAAAAATGAAGAAATGAGCTTATTGGAAGCGGAAAGAAGATAACAAGAGTGGTGGAGAGACGATAATTACAAATAGTAATTAGTAGAGCAGCGATGGAGTGGATGTTGTTGATACACAGGTAAAAAGCATAGTTACGAATATGAATATGCCGGCACCTTGGTTTATCAAACATTGTTTCAGCAATATCAGGCGACATTGATTCGATGTTTAAAATTTGCAAATTCTCAATGGATTGATCGGCGTGATGAGATGATGGTGGGTGGCCGGATGTTGGTGATAATGAATCACCTAATTCATTGAGTTCACTTATGCTACCATACATCACTGTTTCATGGGATGTGCCGCCATTCAACTGATGACATTCATCTCGTATTCTTTGTTCAGCTTCTCTTCCAACACTGAAATCCTTATCTCACAACTAATTCAGACTTCATTCATTCATTTTTGGCGAATAATAATGTCCTTATCTCAACTCCACTGAATGACTACGATTGAGCATATCAATAGAACAGCTGGACGAAGGACAAGGCTTGACACTGCAATGAAGTTTGATATACTCGAAAAAGCAACAAGGGAGTGTAAAAATTGCAATCGCATTAGATCGAAAAAACAAGCGAAAACGAAATAAACAAAAGATTCACTCTCGTTCTGTTGACTTCTGCTGAATTATTTAATTCAAACGGATATTACAATATAATTTATGAAATCTCATGAATTCGTTCTATCACAAACTGCAGAGTCCGCAAAGGAAGAACACTGGTTCAAATCGGAAACTAAGCAAACAAATTAGAACGTATGCCGTGAAACAAGGAACATAATGAGACGTGAAAGCAGGTTAAAAGGATAGAATTTAATATGAGCTCGTGGAGACCGCAAACAGATCAAGAATACTGAAAAAATGAGATGGAACTGTGATAATAATGAAAACCATAACAGTGTTAATTATGACCAGTACTATTATTGCCATTAGTATTGCTGATATTATAGCTAATCAGCACTACTGTCAGTATTGTGATTATTACCAATTAAGTGTCAAAACTAAAAATGAAAAATAATTTAACATTATGGACCTTGCAATCGTAGCTTCGACATTCGAAGCTTTACCGATGCGAGCCAACAAACGCGCCGACGGAAAAATGCTTCTAAGCACTCTAAAAACAGAACATTTTATTACGATTATAAGCAAACATTGTACCTTTCAAAAACATAAACGATCAACTACTTCACAAATCTCGTTAATATGAGCATAATCAAAACCCAAATCTTTCGGAACACTTCGTCCAAAATAGAGAAAACATTTTGATACATTTAGAAATTGAAGATAAACATTAAACGAATCGGTTTACGCACGGATTAGTAAATTAATGAAGTAAGATTATGATAGAACGTACATTTTAATGGCGAGATCGGTCAGAAGTGCGGTAAATGGGATTAATACAAAGGCAAGCCAAAAACTGGGAGATGACATCATCATATACGCCATACCACACATTTCCTCTCCTAATGGTATATAAGGCCACATCTGCAATAAAGTACAGTCATAAATATGCATCAAAACGAAAACGGTAATTTATTCAGTGGAAATTAAGGAGATAAACTGAATCAATTCACTGATATCATTCTCATGGACTGTATCCACTTTGGACTTTCCCATGTAATGTTAATGCTACGACCATAAACTGACGTCATCGCTTTGATTACCTCATCAAATCAGGCGAGTTTAAGATCAGTTTTAATTTATTCTCTCTACATCAACCGCTTTCTTCCTCTTGCCTGTTTCAAGTTCGGAGACGATTCAAGGCGTGCAGTTTCGCTATTTTATTGTCAGCACGCCTCAAAATATGCCCAACGAGCATCAATCTGTTTTCTTGCACTTTTTAAAATTCTCTGATATGTGATGGATGTTGCTTCTTCAACACTTCATTGACTGCTCCATCGTTTCTTTTCTTATCTTTCCGAGTATATCCTAGAATTTCGCCTCGAAATTTTCTGTCAGCAATATCCAACTTGTTATTCAATGCCTTTGTGATGGTCCAAGCAGAATTCGCATATGCCATAATCGGAACTATGGCTGTTCGACAAAATTTCAATTTGATTTCATTCTTGATTGTGACTGACCATAAGCTTTTCCGCAATAGACTAAAACAGTCATGCACCTACACGATTCTCCGTCAGGAGTGCAATCAACATTAGCTGTTATGACTGAGCCGAGATAGGAGAAAATTTCGGTACTCTTCAATTCTCCATTGTTAGCCAGCACAGGTTTCTGCATTTCCTTGGATGAACATTTCCTTGATAATGTTGCGTTTTTAGATGATTTTATTACTGATCAGTAACTAGCGCCATACTCACTCACAGTTGAAACTGCTCTCTGCAGTTCAATTGGATTGTCATCCAAGAGTGAAATATCATCAGCATAACCTGATCAGTCCCTGATCAGTCACATGTTTATTGAAAGGGTAGAGGTGGATACCGTTCTCATAGTCCAAAATTGCATGCTTTAAAACCTAGTCAAATACAAAATTGAACAGGATTGGACCCAATACCGAACCCTTCCGCAAGCCTACGTAACATTGCGATATGCCAGTCAGTGATTTTCCCACTGCTGTGGTTGATACGTCAATACTGCTTATTTATGAAACGAGTTTTTTGGACGCCACTGGCTCGGAGTAGTTGAAATACACGACTGCGATACGGGGAACCGAAAGCGCACGAAAATCTATGGCGGTGATGTGAGTAGGCTGGCTGTACCGATTTCGGATTTCGATTGTACCCCTCAAACTGAAGATTTGGTCAAGTGCTGCATGGCCAAATTGTAACCCAGCCAGTTCCTCTCTTATACGTTCATCTCGGATTGAGTGCAATCGCCCCTCATCGGTAATAACTGTTTCCAGCACTTTATAGTGTTCAAAGGAGGCATGTTCCTCCCAAATTACTTATGCCAACATTTTTATTGCACTTTGCACTTTGTGTATAGAAATGATTATTGCACTTTTCCAGCTTGCTGATATTTCTTCAGACTCCCAGATGTTTCGCAGCATCTTTTGCGATTTCTTCAAAGCAGAGGAGAACAACGCTTCAATCATACCAGGTACTATACTATCGTCTCCTGTTACTTTTCCGTGTTCTAATTGTTAAACTGCTCGAGACTTAGAGAGTGAAGTTAAAAGTGTTAAAAAAGATTCTTCTCACCACGAGAACTATTAAAGGTTATGTCATTTTGAAATTGAGCCTAATCATAAAAAGAAAAAAAGGAACAAACCGCTGAATAGATCGGTAAAAAAATGAACCATAGAATGATCGATCCAATAGATGACGCAATCACTATCGGTGTCCACGAATAACATTCCAATAACGCTTTTAAACAAACCGTTGCAACCACAAACTGTGAAAAACAGAACTGTATTTATGCAAGTGACAGAAACCGAATTACATTCGTGCGAAATTCGTTATTCTGACGGAATTTCGAAAATTTTTGGTCGGAATTTGTCCAAGTTCATTATCGGAGATTCCGGAATTCATTATCCCGACCTGATCTAGAAATCATTAGTCGGAATCCGAATTTCGTAATCAAAGCGACCGACTTTGACTGGACTTTACTGACCGAAGATCGGCTAGTTGCCATCACTAATAAACAAAAACGTCAATAGTAATAACAATGAGTGTAATGAAAGAACAATAGCAACGACATATTATCGCGACCACCAATTTAACTTATTTGAAAAAGAATACAGTTCGAGATAGTGAATGAGTGGACGGACATATACCAAAGTTTTACAAGATATAAACGAGTATTTCCACGCCAAGAAATTGCCATATTTCAATTCAGAAGAACAGAGATACAAAAATTCGACTACTCTGATTCAGAAATAATTAACCACTAACCGAATAACATGAATTACCAAGCAATAACCAAGCATCTGAGCCGCTTGCAGTTTCAAAAATTTCATTCTGAAGGAAACCATAGGAAAGCAGATATAACAACAATGAATGCCACACTGCCATTCCAATCCATAGAACAAACTTCTACAAATTATCATTTCATCTTCTTAAAATAACTGAACAACTCCGTACATTCATTATCTTTATGCATTATGAATAAACTGGAGTGTCTGTTTATCACTGGCAAAAATAACTGCGGCAATAAAAATAGCAGTGATGACGATTAAAACAATAAATAAAATAAATAATAACAGTGATGCTAACAAGTGATGTAAACATCGCAATATATCATTGAAAACGAAATGAAGAATTGAATAAGCAATAACCCGCATCGGGAAGACCGTTGACTGAAACTTTTCATAAAGCGACGGATCACTGAGCATAGTTTTGGCAGAAATGGCCCTATCAAACAAACCGAACGTAATCGGTGGGAATGCAGTGAAAGCGACATTGAATAACGCTATGGTCCAACGTTCGAATAAAGTTTGACCAGAGAAAGCTGAGTTGAATGCGAACCAAAGTTCGATCAGATATAAACAGATATTTTTATAAAAGCAATATAAAATAACCTGAAATTTGAAAGAAACTGACTGTATTAGGGCATTTTCGCATTGAGCTAGACGTTTGACTGCGTAATTTGCAGTCGAAAATGTTCCTCAAATTCAATTACTACGAGCTCATTGTCAGTTGGTCAATATAAACTGTAAGCAAATAACGATGAATAGTGTTTGCACGAGATCTCAGCAATACCGAATACCGGTATTAGAAAAGCGATAGCGATCTCCGTATTCGTGGTGTCGATATACACGGTATTTCCGGTATTCATACCACAAGTCATTTTAAGTAAATTTGGTAGTATATCCATCATGACTAGAGCATGAATCATACCCATTTTGTTTTTTGTTGAATTTCTTGAGCTTTGGTGAGTGGTTTGTTAAATAGATTGTGTTCTAAATAATTATGAACATACTGACTCAAAAAGAATGTGTCAAACAAGCCACATTTCTATATTTCAGAAGTTGCTTTTAATACCGTTATCATATCGGTATCGAAAAATGATATCGGTATGAATACCGATCTCGATATTGAGAAAATGGTCGATATTTTGCAAACTCTAACGACGATGCAATACCTACAAAACTGGACTACCACATTATAAATTCTAACAAATCACACCATTATTTTCATTCTTTTCTGAAAGAAACAATATGGAAAAAGCCAGCACTAAAACCAAATGTTACAAGACCATGAGAGCAACTGAGGAATCACCTTGACACTACGATCTAGGTTCCATGTTCCGTGAACAAGTAACAATCGCTGCAAAAAACGGAACTGTGCAATCGCGTAATCACTCGCTGATGCTGCTTGAAGACCTTCTTCACCTAATAAACCAACACCAACGTTCGCAGCCTGAAATCGCACATCGAATTCAAAAATTCAGATGAAGTTTCTATTGAAAATAAAGGATACAGTTCAAAGTTCATTTCCAAACCGTACCTAGAGCTTACTGTGAAAACATATACCATTTCACGAGCCCAGTTGAAATAGGATTGAAACGGTGCAGCACACCGTTTCAATCCTATTTCAACTATGAAACTAATTAAAGAACTTCATTAGGAAGTTCAAATGAACAGCAAGAACGAAAAATTATCGACCTGTATCATCGCCACATCATTAGCACCATCACCGATCGCTAAGACGTGATTTTCATGCCGTTTTATAAACTCGACTATTTCCGCTTTTTGTATAGGTGTCAATCGATAACATATTACAGCTTCATAAAGACATAACAATTCACATAGTTCATCGGGACGTTCACCACTGAACACATCACTTACGACCTTAAATTGAGGTGTATCATGTTAAATAGTTGCATTTTGTCCTTATGTTGGGAAATATCTTTGGAAAAATTCAATATTTTTTTGAAAATTGATCACGTCCCTCAAGAAGGATCGCGAGAGCATATCAGCTGTGGTAACCTCCCAGCTTTTAGAAGAATGTCATACAATTCAGATGTATAACGAAACATCATATCAAATCAGCGGATACATGCACAAATAACAATCATCAACTGACTGAAACGACTAACACTTCCATCAATAAGTAAAACCATGTTTTCATCATCCTTTGGAGAAGTCGCGATTATAGTTGCCATATTTTCCCTTGATATGGACTTTGTTGGGGTTTCAGAGGTGCACAAAGCGGCTGCAATTGCTATATTGACAGCCGTTTCTCGTTTGTCGCCCGTCAACATCCACACATGAATGCCAGCTGCCTTCAGCGATTTGATCGTTTCTGGCACACCCTTCAAATCCTCTTCACTCACAGTTAGCGTACATCACATTCAATCATAAACTGTTCACTGATTGACATTCTCCTTTGAAATGATTTTAATGATAATGAGCGTACGTGCTTTCTTATACAGATTAGCGAACATATCACAACGACATTGGAAACAACCAACTGGAAAGGTCTCTTTGAGATGAACGGATAATCATCTGCTTACAATTCCATTTTCTCGGATCATATAGAACATGTGAGAAATGTTCATTTTTTGCGACATTAGCATAAAAGTGCGCATGGATACTGTCTCAATATCTTTACGGTCCAAAATCCAGTCTATCCACTAGTGATAGCATCCGAATGTCGTTTCAGTTCGGTCGGAATCCGACCGAACTGAACTTTTCGACATTCGGAATTCCCCTAACGGAACTTCGAGATTACTCTGTCGAAATTCTGATCAGAATTTGTCGCACTTCTCCTACCGAACGCCGGTTGAACGCCACCTCCATCTATCACCACGATCAGAGGAGTCACAATAAAAATGAAAATTGAAATGACTTACACAAGGTGAGTTACCAGTCAATGAAAAACACTTGAAATTTTTACATCAAAAGTAATCAATATACAAAAGAGACCTCCTGCAGTTTATCTTCAATTGCAGAAGCGCCGATGAGGATCAAATCACGCTCAATCTTTTCAGCACAATCATCCAGTTTTTTTTGGAGATTATCAATCGACTTAAGCGCCGCTTCGAATTCATCATTCCACTTGCGATATTCATCTTCATCAATGACTTTCATTGCAAAACACAATGTTCGATAACCCTAGAGAAATATTACTCTTCAATTCTTCATTTTCAAATTTGTTCGGTGAATATATATCATAGCGAACGAAATGAACGATATTTAAAGACATTAGTGAAATATCTACGGAGAATTCAAACCTTTGTTGCATATTCACGCAGATGTTTTTCCGTTTCCTCTTTAAATCTACATCCTTTTCCAAGACGGTTGAATATCATTGTATCCTGAAATCAAAAAAAACATCCTATCATATTCCAAAGAAGTTATACGACAAGAGAGGGTGAATAATTTTGAAATGACATGCGTCACCTCATCTACAGAATACAATATAATTTATTCCAGATAATCAGTGATTCAGAAAAAGAATCAAAACAAGTGATATGTTAAGANTCAAACTTTAAAAGAAAAAATGCAGGTTTGAAATTCTCAACGGTCAACGCAATTACAAACTGTAAATAGAACCACTATATACTGATCTGGCATCTACATCGAAATAATCGTACAGTTTCGAATCAGCTAAATAAATTCAAGAAGATAGATGCCGGGTGAATGAATCAAAGCTGCTATAATGCTGCTGAAAACAAAAGAATGAACGATGCGAACGATACCTCTTTAACAATAACTCTGTCTGGATATCTTGTATGAAAAACGAAATTCAACGCGAGCGCAGCTCTAACTAAAGCACCTTCATCAGGTGACGATGCTTGATATTTGGTGCTTGACAAATCATTAGTATCACCCTTTTCTGGCACCACCGTATGACAAACTGACATTACTCGTAGAAATTCGACTATCCACTTGCATTGCTCCTATTAACAATAACAATGATGAAAACAGTGACTAACAGTATTGTTGTGAAATGATACTTGGTAGTAATACAACGATAATCAACAACAATAATATCAATTGACACCATACTTTCATTTCAGAAAATGTATAATTTATTAATATTGCCACCTGCAGCAAATTCATCACAAAAATTATGAAACATCAGAGACACTATCGACTATTCCAAAGCACAGTCAAACTTAAGATTATTTATACAACTCAAAACTCCCCTTCAGGAATGCAGTGTGATTCAATTTGACACAATACCCTCAAACAATTATCGTTCAAACGAAAGGGTAAATGAAAGGATGAGTTGACAGCTTACAGAATTAGAATCCAAGCATTCCTGAATACCAGCGTCATTAAATTCATCGCCTTCATCAGTGCCAAAGTTCATACCAGCAATTGAACAACGTTTGAACTTCATTATATTACGCGTTAATGTCCCCGTTTTATCGGTTACTAAATACTTCACCTAAAAAAAGATTGCTTGTCACTGATCAACGTTCATCAACTAATTACTTTCACTGCAACGATGATTTCTCATTGGATTTGTTCGAATGAAAATAACGATGAGATGGCGACAACAATAACATACTTGTCCAAGTTCTTCGTTTAAGTTAGATGTTCTCGCAATAGCTCTCGTATCCGATGCTTCGTCATACATTTCCAAATCCTCAAAAGGCGNAACAGTGACAGTCAAGGTTGACAGAACAGGGACAACCGGGTTGGCGAGACAACAAAAATTGGAGATGATGAGGATACGAAATGGAGGGCCGCACCGGATGGGCAGCCTACACTCATAACTATTTACGGTAAATACACATTTAAAAATACACATAATAATCTCAATGATAGTAAAACTTCAAAATAAGCAAAAACTAATGTTAAATAACATACAAAATTAATGAACGACGCTTGGAAGAATCGTACCATCTCGAGAGTGACTTGGAGAGATATCGGGATTAGATTATTGTATAAAATAAAAAATGTTACCACATTCCACAAGAAATTTGATTCTTTCGATCCTTTATAAACAATTATTTATCATTTGCAGTCAATAAATTTAATTTGAGTAAATATAAAGATATGACCACGCATCAAGCAAGAGAAGCGTTGTCGCTTGAACAAACGTAGGCTCAAACAAATCCTCAAAAGGCTACTGGATTTTCAACTTCATAGAACTTCTTTATATTCCGATTACACTGATAACAAAAGAGTCGTTGATCTGCTTTCTCTTCCTCAAAAAGGACTTCCGAGTGCACAGTTACATTCACTAAAACAGAATGAGCATCGTGAAATCAAAGTAAACAGAAGCTTTACCAGTAGCACCTAGATAATAGGCAACACCGTAAAGTTGATGTTCATAATAATATGCACCGCAAGCACTGAAGACCGCAAGTGCTAGAAGTATTACGAATAGATATGCCATATACTGATTAGTTAAGACATCTATACTCGACCTTAAATGTGAACAAAACATTGCAATAACTACGGCGATTGCAACAAATAAGCAATAATAAGGACGGATACGACCATATCTATATTAATGACAATAATGATATTGATAGGAGTTAAAGTGACCGTAATCGAAAGAACACGATATTCACTATCGATAAAGACTCTGTTATAATCATTCCTTTATTAATGAAATTAACAGTACATTCCGTAAATATGACTTTGAAAACCAAATTTCAACCATGATGTGTTTGATTGTAAGTTCACAAAAGCAAAAATACTAATGGAAACCTTTTCAAAGGAGCTGCTTTGGAGTTCATCAATATTTTTGCATCATGTCCAGTATAAATGACAGCACCGAATATCCATTGCGTATTCTTTAAACGAGTCCCTCTCAAAAGAATCTGGCTGATACCTTAATTAAACACAACAGCACTATCTTGTTTTTGAAATGCTTCTTCCCTCGAACAACATTATAAATAATACGAATAGTTTAGCGAAAGCGAAAATATGAACCACTAAAAACCACTAAATTATCTACATTTCCTACGAATACTATAATGCACACAGAGTGCATGAAAAGACATTATGTAAATGAATGAAAAAGTGAGAAATTATTGAAAAAAAGTTATACCGAGAAGATGGGGTGAATTATCAAAATTAATCGTTCCCGCAAATTCATTAACTCTTCGATTCGGCACCTCACATTCAATATCAAATTCGAATTCAGATAGCTTATGCGGATCAATCAGGTGTGATGTGCCTCGCAATGCTTGTTTGATTTTTAGATTCGTTTCACCGTCCAAGTTCGATGTTTCAATATAAGCCATTCCATTCGGTTCACTTGACGACAACAGTACCATATCAGCTGGGAATAACTCATCGCTTTGGACACGTAATATATCACCGACGTTCACCTGGAATCAGCCAATTCATTCACTTTTAAGTGATCAGTGTTATGAAACAAGAAATTTAAATGCACACAGCGGTGTTCGTCTGACCAAGCAGATTTATGAATAAAAGAATTAATCCATTTGATACTAAGAGATACTTGAATTTTTGAAATATTCAATTCGGTTATGTACCTCTTTCCATTTGATTTTATTCCACTCGCCACCCTTCAGAACAAAAGTTTGAAAATTGTTTACTTGTTGATCGGAAAGCCGTCGTTTCTAAAAACACCAAACGATACCAAAAAATGAAGCAAAGTCGAAAGTTAACTCCCAAAAAATTAACGCTGATTGAATAATTTCCCTAATCAATAAGGGTGAAGGAAAAAGTTCACGATGACTCATAAAACTCCATTCCGTTTTATATAAAAACATCGAATCAATCAGAACAAACAGTGCAATTTCCTTGACGAAAAAAGTTTATGATGTAACAAACCTACAGAAACAGCATGAAAAATATCACTCACCCAATCTTCAAACAATTCTTTCAGTGCTGAAACGGCAAGGATCAAACAGAACGGAACTGCTGTTGTATAACGGCCGGTTGGACTCACATCCGGTATTTGCTGTTTGTGAAATTTAATCATTAAAATATCATTATTGCTTTTATTATCGCCAGCGTTGTTCTTATTATTACTGTTGAAACAAAAGCGAGTATCAATCAAGTTCGTTCACATGATCGATTCTCATTTTCATTCAGGCTATCATTGATTCTTCGCAACCGAGCATGCTTTCAAGAGGGTGATGTTGATACGCTCAGCAGAATAAATCTGCGTTTGATTTCCGATTTCCATCTCTCACTGAGCAAAAATCGTGACATTTTGTTCTGATTCAAATGGAGAATAACTGATCAATTCATTAGTAAACTATTCATTCATCTGCAACACAAATATTGATATTCATATTGAGCATCGGGAAATCCGTTGCGTAAAATACGAACGGATGTGAGATAACGAAGGCGGAAAGATGACTAAAACTGACTCAGCTGCTCAATCTATGACGTCTATTAAAGTCAAAACTTGTTTTGAAATTAATCGACTGTTTATAGCTGATTGCTAGTTCTGAAAATACGTTGAATCAAGTCATTGAAATCACTACCTAAGACCTTTTGATCATGAGAAGGGATGATAAAGAGGGCCAGATAAGGATCAACAGCCAGTTTGAAATCAATATCGACGGCTAAAAATTGAATGAATCTAATGGTAATATAGCTGATTGGATAAGATGAATGAAGAAAATTTTTCAAGTACCTGTAGTAATACAATGATGAGAAAGAAGATATTGTTGTACCGACGAAATTGTTCGGTTAGAAATCGAGGAAAGAATGACCACCAATTGTATTTACAAGTACTGTAACAACTAATGTGATGCAAATGTACGACAATAAAGACGAAAGTAAAAACACCAACAAAAAAACTAAATCGAATCTCGACTATTGCTCTTATAGAGTTCTGGAAAATTCATGAAAAACAGCAGGAATATGCTAATGCAGTCATATTAGTGTTAACAGTTTTCGCTCATCCTAAACCGACAATCGTAGCTCATAGTTCAGAATGACATGGAATAAAAAGAACGAAAACCCAAAAATGTGACAGTTCAAAAGTAATCATCCACAAATCGGTAATAAACATTCCCTCGTAAAATGAGTGGATAAAAGATAATAACAAATCTGTCCACTTAAGAGCCTTGAAGAAAAGAAAGAAAATTACTGCTTTTCATGCAGCATTTTCTAAATTATTTAATTGGTCAGCATTTATAATTCAATGAGAGTATGTACTTGTTTGCTATATCCCAATTCCTCTTTCAATGTTCGCAAACTTTTTTCCATACAGTTAACGATACTAGCTCAGAAAATTATGTAATCGTGAATTTCGTTCTGACATTTGGTTTAG